CAGAGAGGGGACATTAGCTGAACCCAGTGTCCCCCAACCCGCCCACCACAATACACCAATATCCAACTTTTAACCACACCCACGTGCAATACACAGACATGTTGTGCACTGAACAAAGATAAACCAGAGCTTAAAACGGTACTGTGCCATGTAGCAACTTGAATGACACACATTTCACAACAGTAAGGACGAGACAACACACAGGCGTGACTACTCCAGTGAACCCATCCGAGGACACGGTTTGTTTACCTGCCTAGTTGTGGCATGTAAATAAACCGACAGTAGTCCAATAAACCAACGATGGATTAATAAACCAACGATGGATTAATAACCCCGCCATATTTCTCTCGACACTGATATGTCAGACTAATATTCTTTAACCGCCTTTTTCATTCAATCATTTCCTCAAGCCCTGGGCGGTAGGTTGTTTTGCCAAAACACAGGTGTTACTATCTTGGCTAAATGCATGCTCTTGTGAAATGTGGGTAAGAAATCTGTAAACACTAAACAAGATTAACAGAGGAGCTTAAAGAGGCTGTTATGGTATGTCAATGTAATTGTTATGGTAGGAGGACATTGTGTTACCTTAAATCATGACACAATGTAACCAAAATACTTTCAGTGTTTCCCATTCATCGATTCATTTGTGTTAATTAAATATTGTCCGCCACAAATAGATCTCATAAAAACATTTTTTTTTTGGGAGAATAAACCCCACAGATCCTCAACTCAGGTGTGTGTCACTCATTATGGGGGTGCGGTGTGGTGCCCCCACAAATAGAATCAAATTCTGTGGGACTATATTTTGATCTAAATAAAAGTCACGTCTTTGCCAATATATCAGCAGGTGTAAGCTTATTGCACGTTTATAGCATGTATTCCAACCATTCCCCGTTGTATCTGTCTAACTCTTCTGTTGCAGTGACAGGAACAAAATGTTACAACTATTTAAAATTATTGGATTCTAATTAAACACTCATGAAATAATGTTTAATATTAGTTGAAGCTTAGAATTTCCCTTCTGGTTATTTTTGGAGGGTGTAGTTTATGCTGCTGTTGAATTAAACTGCTTGTACTGACAGGTCTTTCCATTATCTTGTCTACCCTATTAACGGGGGGAGGCTAAGTAACAGCAACACATCTCTTGCAGGTTTTATTGAAGGATTGCATTAGAAGGCTTAGGTAGGCGTACCTAATACACGACACTGTAGGCAAATACAATTTCACAATATACCAGTCTTATGAAACTTAATTAAATTCCACAAAACAGGATTTCTTTTTTGTGAACAACAGTGAGTCAGAGATAAGCGACAAAGCCTTGCTGTATTATGGTGTCATCCAACATTGAGGTTGTTATAATGGGAGATCAAATATGCCGCCTAAAACCAGAATGGCCAGAGCAGCAGAGGAGAACAGCCTTGAACTCCGAGGCTGGACTGAACAAGCGGAATGGTCTAGAAGTGACCTACCAGGTGAACCATTCAGCATTTCCTAAACCGAGCGTACAATGCTCCTGAATAGGTCGTCACCGCCACAGAACTGTGATAACATTTGACAATAGTCAACAACAATTGCTACACTAGCATGCAGAGTACCAAGCTGAACTCTTCACTCGGTGCTTCCGATTCAAGCATAACACAGCCTACACTTACATATCATTTTGTGTTTCCATTAGTGACTACCATGATTTTCTTGTGACTATTTACTTAACTAGGGCACTCTCCAACAACACCCAGGTTTCTACCAATTGTCAGAAAACTATTTATTTAGGGTATGGATCTTCAAATATTTGTAAAACTAAATGTTTAAATAATCTAAATCCAAATAAAACACATTTACAGGGCAGTTATCAGTCAAGACCAACTGCAGAGGAGCAATTTTACTCCTTTACTAGTCAGGAAGTATCAAGAACAGCGGTACCGAAACATTGTAAGAAGTTGAAGCACTATAAAAGGAAATGACATGGCAGCAGTTAACATTAAAAGGTTTGTGAAATCACAAAATGCCCAAATAAGACGAAGACGTAATGTGCTTTTCAGTGCACATTTACTCAAATGAGTAAATAGTATGTTAACAGTTAGAGCAATAAAAGACTATGGACCTAATAGGGAACTGCAAACAGTTCTTGCTTCAGAGCAAACATGGGCCTTTCTAGACAAGGGCCCTCTTCAATGCTGTGTTACATTCTTCTTTACTTCTAGTTATTAGCTTATGTTGCAGCTGTAATATATTAATGTTTCCATGCAGAGATAATTTGATAATGTCTTAAGGCCTTAGTAGTAGAGCAATAAAGAAACAATTTATTACAGTAGTCGTTGCGAAACGGCATAAAATCGACTCAATTATAGTCAAAGTTTGTCCAAAAATGAGCTTACACATGGCATATTCTTTATTAGGATTCATGTAGTCTTAATATCAGAATACTGCACGCTGTGTGAGCACAGGCACCTTTTGGTTGCAATATCTGTCAAACACAGCAGCTGGTTATATTCTCACCTGTTTTGCAAAGGGTGCTTGATATACTCCTCAGGATTCTCAACAACTTCGTTTTCAGTTTTTTCAGCTATTTCAACTATTTCAGCTATTTCAGCTGGCAGTTGTTCTTCAGTTTCAGGTGCTTTCTGCAGAGGGACACACACACAATCATCATAAGCCTTCTGTGATACAAAGGACATCCATTGAAGATATTTATACAAGTAATTTGCAGAGGATTGAACAGGTATATGCGAAACTGAGCTGAAAGATGTATCAAAAATTGTACCAATCTGGTGATATGAGGTGCTGTGGTTACAATCATGCCATGTCACAATGCAGCTTAAATAATACCTGTATTGTTTTTTTATTGGTATCTTATATTGTTGTAGCATAATTATCACCATTGTTGATTGAGTTATACAATTCATCTTTGTTGTACTTAATTCCCTGCCTGTTTTGTATATTATCACTTGTGCAATTAAAAATGCCCATAATTAAATATCTCCTGCTGATCCTAAAGTAATGATTACCTGTGATTGTTTTGCATACCTGAATACCTGGTTTAGCTGAATAAATACCTTCTTATTTGTAAGGGCCTTCATCATTTTAGGCGTACAAAGATCATTTTGTTACAACTTCAGGTACTATTAAATCCACATTACAGTTATTGACTTTCCTCCAGTACCATAACTATGTACACACACTTAAATATATTGCGAAACATCCGTTCCCCGTCACATTATCGAGATGTAAGTGCTAATTTCAGATCAACGTTAAGCTATTAACTTAATTATCTGACAGTAGTATCCAGCTCTACTTTACCACGTCAACATTTTTTACATGAAAGCTCATAGAACACAGCTAGTTTTTGGTTGGTCAAAAAAATTATTAATTAACATATACGCTACAGTTAGGTAACAAGTTAACGTCGCTAGCATTAGTTTTAGCAGACGTGCTAAGCTAGCTAAAAGCTAGATACACACGTGTCAAGATTGTCAAAAATCTAATCAGTAATATCGTAGTATGAAAATGTTAAGGATCTGATGTTTGATCATTAGCACCAGGATATTAACTCAAATGTCGAAGTAGATTAAAACAATTCATTGATTGTAGTTTGAATGAACGACGCGCAGAGTCCCTCCCTGTCTGATCCATCACATTGCTGAGCATGCTAACCGCTAACCGAGATCCACGCGAACTGACACATCTGGGAGGCAAAACACAATAACATGCCCGAAATGTTAGCTACCGCTTTAAAGAACGAGGATTATAAAACAAAGTCGTTATATATAATGAGGTTGTAGCAAGTCCTTCCTTGCGCATTTGTCTTTTTTTTCCAGCAATCTCTTGTCTCTCTTACCGGCTCGGATGTCGCCATCTTGACAGTAGAAATGTTCTGCCCGTTCAGCGCTTCTGCGTCACTGCAGCCACTCTCACAACTACGGAAGCCTCCGAGTCCAGTTCACCAAAGAAAGGAGGAAAGGACACATCAATATTTGACATTAATAACTTTTTACTTTAAATAGGCCTAAATAATACAAAGATGTAATTTAATCCTCGGGTTCCAAACATTGTTTGGCAGAGTTGCCCAATCAAACCAAACATTAAACCAATATTTAAAAAAAAATATGCACAAGCAAATAAAGAATCATCAAATGAAATGCAAATAAAGAACATTTTAAAATACACGAATGGTACACTTATTACCATGTAGCCTACAGGCATTTTAGTGCGTTTTTGGTTGGCTTGTTAAAAACAAACCAACTCCCTGTTTTAATAAACAATGTATGACCTTGGAGGAATGTATTAATCACCATGATTTAGTTTCAAAACGTTCATGAAGCTCATCTATTTAGTAATGTAATTGGATTTATTAATCACAACTATGATTGGTTACAAACCAAATCAAGCATTTTCAAGCAAAACAATTCAAAGCTCCTTCTTTCTACATTACTAAATGGATGAGCTTCATCAACGTTTTGAAACTAAATCATGGTTGTGGTTAATAAATCCAATGTTCATACATTGTTTATTAAAATAGGGAGTTGGTTTGTTTTTAACAAGCCAACCAACAACACACTTTATTAGTTTTTTTGTACTAAAAGAAGCCAATAATTAATAAAAAATTGCAGACTCAGTGAGTAGACTTCAATAACTTAAACTAACAAAAGGGTGCTTCATGAGTTGCGGAAAAATTTCCCCTGTGATTTCAATACTGTTATCTCTTATATCATTAGATTGTTATTATGTATATAATATATGAAAGTGTATTTAACAGTTGGTTGAGGTGGAATTCGTTTTAAATAATTTTTCGTCGGACTGCAACTCATAATTACTTTATCATTTTGAAGATCAGCCCCCTGCCTCAAGCTATCAAAAAAAAAAAGTAAAAAAATCCCTCACACATAACATGAACTAAACAGTTAAATGGCATAGATATGTCTCCATATTCATCACACACCTAGATTATACACCTGAACAAACCCGCATTCGAACACACAACAAATAAGGAGAGGAAATCATGATCAGGTCCAAAATATAAATATGACTTTATTTCACAATCCCAAAAAGAGATCAGCCATCCATATAAGGAATGCTAAATGTAGCCTCTTCTCAAGTCTAAACTGGATATACTTTCAGCATCGTACAGTAATTCAGTTTTAAAATAAGCAAGAGCATCCATTATCTAAACACCATTAACAGTACAGTAAGAACAATATGGTTCACAAAACATATTTACACATTTTCTACTAATAAACGTTTTTTTAAAGATGTTTTAATGCTGGTGCTAGTTGTTAGTTCCTTGTTGATACAAATACTTTCAATGTGGATTGAGAACGTCCCCACAGTCAGTCAAAAACGTTTACAAGTGTAACTTTGTCATGTTGGGTTCAACATTTTTAAATCCACTGATTTAAGAACTGTTTACATTCATTTCACTTTGTGTGTGTGTGTTGTGATTTTTTTAAATTGTTGCAGATTTTGGTTATGAGTGGAAGACATTTGAGGGCTAGAGGAAAATCGGCACAATTATTCAATTTTTTTCACTGATAATTAAAAAGTATCATGATCAATGGTGGAGATAGAAATGCATCTCCGTCTGTCCGAAAAATAAAAAAACTACCTTTGTATTGAAACATACATCAGATCAGTGTAGAGTTGTATAAAAGCACCATTACACCAATGTACAGTATATAACCATGTCAAGTCAATGTTGTCCTATTAGCACCAAAAGGAAGTAAAAGTGTTTGAAAGACCAACAAGTTTCTCAAGAAACATTATACCAGTGTCAGTGTGAATATCAGTGAAAGGTCATTATCTCTTGTGCTATAATTTAATTGCTGGGTTTTAAAAACAAATAGCTTCTGTTTCACCGGTAATAAAAAAGATCCTGATTCACCAGGAGTTGACACTAACCCCCTTATTTTGACCCTGTAAGGAAAAGCTCTCTGAAAACAAAGTTTTCACAAAGGTCGAGCACCAAAAACCGTCTTCTAGTCTGAGTGGAATCTGATGTTTGAGTGGTTTTCCAACAAAAGCAGAGCGGAAGAGAACAATAGATTGATTATTCAGACACTGTTGTACATGATTATGGACATAAAAAACGGCGACATATCAAACACTTAATGAATAAGTAGGTCTTATAAGCACCATCAAGTACGTTTTTGAAATCCTATAATTTTCCAGAAGGTGAAAATAAGTTAAGTGCTAATAATGGTAAGCACCTTACTGTTGCAGCATTTCGCGATTCCTCAGTATGTCAAGTTTAACATTTCCTTAGATATGTAGGCCATTTTCAACAAATTGTAAATGAAAAATACTGTAAAGATAAAACCAGGATCATGCTAAACTGTCATATATCTCTATCTGTACATACATATTTAGGCCTAAAGATTGGGACCTTTTCAAGTTAAGTTTAAAAAAATAAAAAAGTGCTTCTTAATATGCCATACAAATCTGTGAATAAAAAGAAAAACATCCAGACATAAAGAAAACAAATCAACAAAGAAGAACATTTCTTTCGTCGACTGCCGCCTGAAGTCAGAGGCAGCAGAAGGTCAAGCATGATGCTACATGTGACAATCTGTAGTTACTATAAGCACAATATTAGTCCTGTTTCTACATTATGTGATGTTATGGTGTTAAGCAGGTTTTACAGTGAGAATGGCACCAACTTAGAAGCCAATGAGATTCATCTTATGAAAAGCGAACTATTGGCTAAAAAAAAGAGCAAATTCCTACTGTACAACGTGAATTCTGAAAACACAATGCAGGTTATCATAGAAATCTTGCAGTAAACAGGCTTGCACCAGGAATTAAATAGAAATCGTTATGATAAGAATAAATAATCACATATTTTTTGTTCTTAATCATGTATATAAAACCAGTTTAAAAACGTCTTAAAAATGCTTCAAAGCACCATCTCTTTACAATAAAAATACAGAAACTCACAGTTAAAAAAGCCAACCAACTTTGGTCTTCCTCATCACTTTGAAAGCAGAGACCAAGAAGGGCAAAGTCAACAAACAGACTCTAGAAAAGCACAATGAAAACAACTTTAAAAAATGAGAGTAGCAGTTTGAAGTTGAATGAGGTAAGGCAGAAGCACAGGGTGTAGAAGTTTATTTGTGTGTGTGTGTGTGTGTGTGTGTGTGTGTGTGTGTGTGTGTGTGTGTGTGTATGTGTGTGTGTGTGTGTGTGTTTGTGTGTGTAAAACATGTCAACTAAGTCCAGCGATTGTAGGGGCCCGTCACTTGGGTAAGAGCATAAGGGGACACGGTGACAACACCATCCCTCGGGAGAGTCCAAGCTTGTCGTGTGGGGACATGCATTGTCCTCCTTGTCCCCTGTGCATCCTCCCCTGTTCCTTCCTCTTGCTCCACACCTCCTTTTCCGTTATTCCCCAGACATTCCTCCATCCTTAATCTCTCGGCCTCCTCCTCCCGCTCCCTCTCCCGCTTGGCCATCTTTGCATCCCACATAGCCATCCCGTGCCCTGGTTCATTCAGAGACTTGTGCTGGTAGAAGACCAGGGAGATGCGTGTGGGGTGGCTGCGGTCGGGCCTGAGGATTGGGGTGGTGGCGTGGAGCTCCCGCCGCGCACACTCTATCAGGATGGAGCCGTGTGCCGGTGCCACCGCGACTCCGCCTATGTCACGGTCCAGGAAGTTGTGCTCGCTGTCTGACCACACCTCTTCCTGCTTCAATTCCTCTGGTTCAGGCGGGGGAGTCTGTGGGGGAAGGGGGAGAGAAGAGAGTGGAGGAAAGCCATGACCCCTGAACTCTGCAGTGACATCTCCAGCAGCCCTGTGGAGTCCATTGAGCCTGCTGAAGAGGCCCTCAGAGGTAGGTCTGGGGGAGAAGGAGGGGGGAGGAGGAGCACTCCCACTGGGGGAGGGTCTGCGCAGAGGAGAGCAGTGCACCTCGTTTGGCTCAGTTTTAAAACCATGGGGGAAGCCACTAAGGGTATTATGTGGAGGTATATGTACACTCTGGCCACCAGATGCTGAAGAATAACCATTCACAGCATCACTCACTGTTTTATAATTAACAGCTGAGCCATTCCGTCCAAACTGGCCACCAGGCAGGCCATGGCGGTTGGGGGGGATTACCTCCTTCTGTGGGGTGACCCCTGCACCCGAGGTGGGGTAGCTGCTGGTGCTCTGGTTGTAAGTGCCGGGTTGATTCCTCTCCTGTGGGTACCGTCCATCGCTGGCAGGCCTAGTGGGCAGTCTGTACGGGCTGGAGAAGCGCTGTGGCTCTGTTTTGGAAGTAGAGAATACAAGTATTTATAAAAAGCTGATGTATGAATCATCAAAAGAACCTTTATACTTTTGACCTCAATGTCCAACTATTAAAATACATTAACCACATGATTTAATACCTTTGCTGGGGGTGTCGTTCTTCACTTTCCCAGGAGTTTGGGGAGTCAGCCCGAGCTTCTTCTCCAGCTTCCCTGCTTGGGCCTTCAGACGAGCTTCTTGCCTGATCTTACGGGCTGATTTCACTGGCTCAGCCAGGAGACGCACCTAAAGAACACAACAAATATATAATCAACATTTTAAAACATCACTCAGGTAACTGTTTTTAAACGTTTTATCTATTAGCGTTTTTCACATTGTATGAACAGTGAGCAAAAAGCAAATACCATTTGTTTTTAACAAAAGCAAATAAATACAAGGTTATGGGGGGGATCAGTAAATCAAGGCACATTTTAAATAGAGTATTGCACCGAGTACACAATTATGTCTCATTTGCTTAATAAGCAAACTATTGGAGTTGTAGGATGAGTTAATTTTTTTATAGAAGATGTGATGTTTAACAAAAATGATAGAGAGGCCAATAGTGGCACATTTTTCTGAAGTCAATTTTATATAATAGCCTTTTTTACTTGCTGCCAGCAAGATCTTTAGAAAGTACAGTAGGCATACAATTGTGTTTTGCTTGTTTGAAACAAAGTACTCAAACCACTGACAACATAACAATAAGAATAAATAGCAAAAGCTGCTTTCTTACTTCTCTGGGAAAGGCGGACAGAACTTGCAGAGCACCGCTCCGCATCTTGGCCCACTGACCCTCAACCTGACCAAACTCGTCCCTTGCGGAGACTCTGTAAAGTGGCAGAACATGGAGCTGCTCATCTTCTGGTATGTTAGGCACTGCCCGGTTATCTTCCTTGGTTAAAGTGCAAACCTGAAAAAGGGCAAACACAAAAGGCAAGTTGTTTAAACAAACAGTAGACCATGTCCAATCAATCCCTTAAGATGTAATCACATGATACAGTAGATAACATGGAGTCACACTCGTAGCATGCTCACCACAGTGCTGCCGTTATTCATGTTGTGAGTGTCCTTGTGAGCATGGGCACAGAAATCCACACAGGCTGTGACCCCAGAGAAGGGACGACCCTCGTTCCGACCCAGACGGCAGTCATTCCCTGCCGACTCATTCTCCACCTATGAGAGGTGAAAGGACAAGACATTGTGAACATGGTAAAATAGGTAAAAGATTCAAAGGAGGTCATTTGAAAATAATATAAATAGTCAGTCTAAAATAGGGTGTCAGCTGTTTACTGTTTCATACCTGGTTTTGGAAGGCCTCCGGAGCCAGTCTTTTGTAGAGGGGTGCAAGGTCAGAGGCGAGATTCTGCAGGTTGCTCTCTATCTTCTCCTCCTAAAAGTAATGGACAGATTTAAGAACATTTGGAGTGAATAACAGCTCATTAAAAAAATAAGCCACTCGGAGTGGAGTATTTGGAAAACATTTGATTATTATGTCCGCCTTTCCTACGAATAAAATTCACTACAACAGGACAAACAAACAGAAGAAATTGCACTAGATGTTTTCCACTAGGGTTTTTGGCAGTAGACCACTCTCTCACCTCATCCCGGTCGTCTCCAAGCAGGCGGAACTTGCGCGGAACCTTGCTGCGGGCAAACTTACAGCCATTGAAGTACATACTCCAGGAGCAGCCGAAAGAAAATGAAGCTCCGCATGTGTCCTGGTCCAAACCCTGGCAGGCACATGTTCGACTGTGGAGACGGAGTAGCAGGAGGAGGATGATGAAACGAACCAAAGTTGGGAAGAAATTGTGTAATTGCAAAACAAAGAAAGAGGTACTCACTCCTCATTGAGGGCGCAGCGGCGGCTGGTGGGGGAGCCGTATTTAAAGAGGGACTTTGTGAGCTCCTGGTAGAGATTGTCTGCCACCGGCCGAGCAATTCCCTCCCACGCCAGGATGAGGATCACCAACACGGCCGTTTCACAGTAATGCCCCGGCCTCCGGCGGACCAAACACAGCAGCTTCTCCTGTTCACTGCTACGCCGGACCACCTGTCAGATGATGGTGCAAAAACAAATACAACCTGATAAACAACAGCAATGAGGAACAGACAACAAGATGCCAGAAAGGTAAGAATCTGGGTTAACTTCCATCTCTGATGGGAACTACAAGAACCCTTCAATATAAAGTAGGGCTGCTCAATTAATCGTATTTTAATCGCGATTACGATTATGGCTTGCAACGGTTACGAAAACAACGTAATCGAAATAAAACGATTATTTTTTTATTATTATTATTACTTTTTCTTTTTTTTCTTCAGTTGAGTTATACTTAAAGTTCAGGGTAATCAACTGTTAAAAACATACTGTTCACATTTTTTTTTCTCCAATAAATGGATGTTTTCAAAGTCAATGAATAATCGCATTTAATAATTGCAATTACAATTATTGACCCAAATAATCGAGATTATAATTTTTTCCATAATCGAGCAGCCCTAATATAAAGAACACATATTTGGGACATTTAGGAACTACAACTACAAAAAAAAAAACATAAGATACATACCCATTTTGCTATTGGACACCCCTGGGAGCTCTTTCCTTCTTTCCCAGTGTAAACAACAACTTCCAACCTGACTGCATTTCCTTTGGCACCATATCTGTAACACACATAGGAGAAACGGGTTGTGCTTTTGAACTCAGAGCATATCACACTGGCAACATCACATTGTTATCCATACATTAGGGCAACATATATGGACAATCAATATATATCAAATCAAAAAAATGCATACAATGCAGTAATCATCAGTGGAAGAAAACATATTGGGATTATGTATTCCTTGTAGTCATTGTGCAGTAAAATGTCATGTGTTGTATATCATTTTATATTTAGTAGTTTAGATTCATTTTACAGCTGCATTAATGTGTGAGATATTTACAGCTGTACTAATTATATCTTCTTTATATATTGTTGGATAGTTTAATCTACAGCAATGCATCATATTCTAAAGATCATCAAATGTCTTTGTCGCTGTCCTGTGAGAAACACGTACCTTAAAAAGAAACAGCCCTGTGCTTTGTATCTTTGTGTCAACACCTACCCAATGTATTGAAGTGAAGAAAAAAAAATTGCCTCTGAGATATTAAATATTTCTATAAAATGTGTTTCATACAAAATAAATACTCAAATTGGTTTGATTACAACTATGTCATTAAATGTCTCAATGAGTGCAGAATGACGTTTCTTTTGTCTGGTTTTCAGATGGACTGAAATGGACATCAAGATGCTTTAAATGGGCTTCCATTGTGGTTTACGGCCTCTTGTCTCAGCTCTAGGGGTTTCCTGTTTCAACATGTGTGTATCTGAGACAGAGGTTACACGTATTGAGCTGGCTCAGCAATGCTTCCTTTTAATGACAGACTCTTTGTCTCTGTCCCGCCCCATTCCACCAAGACCATGGTTCACTAGTAAGGTCTTTGCATGTTTGCTAGAAAACACACCCATATACACAGAGTGTAAACAAAGTTGCAGTCACTCTACCTGTTCTCCATCAGTTCCCTCACTGCAGGAACAGTAGGCCCTGCCCCAAGGTGAGTATAGTAAGGGCCTTCCTCCTTTTCAATGATCTGTTCTGTGGACAGAAACAATCAAAAACAAGATGTATCAGATATCAAAGCAACTTTATCAGGTTTAGAAGTGTCCATCCAATGTGGTGTTGGTATATTTTTGGGAAATGCTCCTGATAAAGAAGTCAGATTAATTAAATGTAAAGGTAAAATAAACAGTAAATGCATCTGGATCTCAGTTCAGGGGCCACCACTCTGTACAGTATGTTTGCATTTCGAGACCAAATACATCATAACAGCTCAACATGGCTCAACAAAGCAGGCCCCCAGTGCCCCCACCCCAAAAGAAAGGACGTATTATTGGCTTCCCCTCATTTTCCCCCCACGCCACGCTACTGCAAAGCACCGCGAAGAAATGTGGCCTCCTTTTGCTTGAATTGGCCCATGAATTAGAACACAGCATGTGTATGGGATTAGTTTTGTATCATAAAGATAAAGCAACACTTTCTCAGAATAAAGCAAAACTATGAGTTTAAAAGAAAAAAAAACTGAGTCAAGCAAAAATAAAATACATTTCAAAAATAAAACTATAAGTTGCAAACAAATCATTTGTGTAATCATGTAAACTATAAGTATTTTTTCTTTGTTTTAACATAGGTTTTTGTTTGCAGTTCTTGTTTCTTGTTTCTCAATGATCAGACTTTCGCTCTCGCTGCAGCTTTCTCGTTTGCGCTCCCTCATTTTTTGTTTGAGATTTTGACACAAACATCCCAGGTGGGCGGGACTTTCAGGGGTGGTGTCCCCACTTAGCTACTCAGTTTTTGTAGTGACAGCCCACTACACCACA